GGGACGAGAAGGATTTATCTGGCTACACTTGGCACCCAACATGGGGTAATAATTTCTACCTAAAACATGAGAGAGCTTAAAAAAAGAAAAGAAAAGAAAAAGGTTAAAAAATGGAGTTAAGAAGAGCTTCCTAGTGCGTGTCTCTCATGTGGTCCATGATACAGAGACACTGCAGTAAAGAGATACCAAGGCATTTGAGCTTGAACACAGCATGGCAAAATCCTACCACGATACACAGAGGCATCTCCAAGCTGGACAGTGTGCTGCATAGCAAGATTTAACTTTTGCTCGTACAGACAAAAACGGTTTATGGGCTGCGTGCTACTTGGTGGTGGCATGGACCCACTGATCTGTGATTCTTGGGGCTCCATGAAGAAGAGAGAAGACCCCCCCCCCCAAAAGGAGGTCTGTAGCACCTTTTCTGTGCCCTTGGAGGCAAAGGAAGGAGAGACTGAAGCAAAAGGAAAGACTGGGTCTTACCGGAGCAACTGGGAAACAAGGTTAGTTTTTAAACAGGAGCCAGTGGCTGTTACCAGGTCCCAAAGAAACTTGGGACAAGAATCACTCAGGACCTGTGGCTCCTCCCAGCACTCATCAGCTGGTCCCTTCTCCCTGAAACCTCTCCAACCCAAGGGCTGGGCTTTGCTTCCCTTCCCCAGTCTCTAATTCCTGTATAATTTGGCTGTTCTTGCCCCCCACCCCTTGCCCCCAGGTTCCCGTGAGCTTGCTTGCTCCCTTTGGCCCCTTCTCTCCTCTCTCTTCTTTTCCTCTCTCACTCTCCCTTTCTCCTTCTGTTGTGGCCTGGTCTGTTCTGCTGGCCATGCTCAGTTTGGACTGTTCCAGATGCCTCTGGCTGAACTTGCCCTCATATCTACAGTAAAAGCTTTCCCTTCAACCTTACCTTGGAGTGGTCATGTGCTCACTTTCCTTCAGCTATTAGCTGCTACTCCAGAGAAAGGGCTGGCAGCTGGCTGAGTGTTTTCATGGACAGTGGGACAGGACCCCGAGAATAAAGGGGCCCCTAACCGGACCCTGGACATCAGCTTCCACTTAGGCTGACTTATTTTGGTTATTGTTTGTTTTGTTTTCAGACAGGGTCTCTTTATGTAGTCTAGGTGGGCCTGGAACTTTCTAAGTAGACCAGTCTGACCTTGATCTCAGAGAGATCCACCAATCTCTTCCTCTTGAGTGCTGGGACTAAAAGTGTGAGCCACCATGTCCAGCCCTGTTTGGGTTTTGAGGCAGGGTCTTGCAATATACCTCCACCAGAGCAGAGACTTACCGGGTCCTTCCTCGGCTTCCCCGAGTGGTGTGATTACAGGTGTGAACTATCAGGCTATAGGTTGACAGCTAACTACAATGAAAAACTTCACACTCTCACACACTCATAACACACATACACACACACACACACACACACACACACAAACACACACACACACGAGAGGGGGGGGACATCTTTTAGACTGAACTAAATTTTTTTTTTTTTTTTTTTGGTTTTTCGAGACAGGGTTTCTCTGTGTAGCTTTGCGCCTTTCCTGGAACTCACTTGGTAGCCCAGGCTGGCCTCGAACTCACAGAGATCCGCCTGGCTCTGCCTCCCGAGTGCTGGGATTAAAGGCGTGCGCCACCACCGCCCGGCTGACTGAACTAAATTTTGAGTGAAGGTGTTTTCATAGTAGTTGGCCCATGAACAAAATGTAGTTCCTTCTTCCCCACTACTGTGTCTGAACATGACTGTTGTGTGTGTGTGTGTGTGTGTGTGTGTGTGTGTGTGTGATAGACAGATAGATATGATAGACAGATAGATAGATAGATAGATAGATAGATAGATAGATATGACAGATAGATAGATAGATAGATAGATAGATAGATAGATAGATAGATAGACAGACAGACAGACAGACAGACAGACAGACAGACAGACAGATAGATAGATAGATAGATAGATAGATAGATAGACAGAGCTTTTCGTTTTAAGGCTAGGGGTGGGGTTCTTCTGATAATACTGAATGAAAATTTACATAACAAAAAGTCACAGAGAGGCTGGGCTGAAGATGGAGTTCTTGTCCAGCAAGCTGAAAGCTCTGCACAGACTGGACTTGGTTGCTCATGCCCGTGGTTCAGCACTCTGAGAATTAGGATGGAATTAGGATGAGAAGCTCAAGGTTATCCCAGCTATCTGGGGAGTTTGAAGGCAGCCTGGTCCACATTAGACACTGTCTCACAAGCTGGAACCAAACCAAGTCACAACCACAAAATGGTACAGAGAAAAACCGCGAGCATTCGAAGCAGGTGAGAGGATCTGGGGCTGGATGTTGCGACGTGCTTGTCTATTGCAAATCCAAGGAAGCACTGTGCAGAGTTTCCCTCTTTTTCTTGGTTTTATCTCTCGCTCTCTGGACAAGGGGGAAAACAATCTCATTTCTAGTGTCTTGATTTTTTTTTAACAGTACATTTGAAGTAAGTAGATGAGCTTTGTTGATGTAAACACATAACTCTCACCTCAAAGAAGTTAAATGTGAGTGACCACGGTCCAGGAGCACAGATTCCTCTTACTCCAAATAGTATAATCTAACTGGTACCAGTTTCATGAAGTGTTTATTTCAACAGAGCAAAAAAAAATCATAAATCAAGGTACTTTAAAATACATCGGTGGACAGACTGGAGATGTTGCTCTGTGGTGAACCATACACACTTCCAAAGGCTCTAGGTTTGGTTCTCAGCGTCCACATCAGGTGACTCATACCAGTCTGTAACTACAACTTCAGGAGACTCCTTGGGTACCAGTACTCATGTGCACATACCCTCACACAGATAGAGAGACAGCACACACACACACACACAGACACACACACACACACGCACACGCACACGCGCACACGCACACGCACACGCACACACACACACACACACCATATGACTTATTAAAAATAAAAATTAATGCTACTCTGAACATAGTTGAGCATGTATCTCTGTGCTCAATCATACCACAAAGACACATGCTCAACTACGTTCATAGCAGCATTATTCGTAACAGCCAGAACCTGGAAACAACCTAGATGCTTGTCAACCGAAGAATGGATAAAGAAAATACACAATGGAGTACTACTCAGCAGAGAAAAAAAATGACATCATGAAATTTGCAGGAAAATGGATGGAACTAGAAAATATCATCCTGAGTGAGATAACCCAAACCCAGAAGGACAAACATGGTATGTACTCACTCATAAGTAGATACTAGATGTAAAGCAATGGACAATGAGGCTGCAACCCACAGAACCAGGGAGGCTACCTAGCAGGGGGGACCCTAGGATGACTGTGGCTTATAATAAGTTTTCGTTTTGCCCAATCACTGGGCAAGCTTTCCTGAAACATTTCACTATTAGGATAAGAATTTGTACTGTATCAAGCTGATGAAAGAAAATGCTGGCCGTACATTCAGGAGGGGAGGCTAAAATCTTTTTAGATTATGGATTAGCCTATAGAAAAATGTCTGCCGTAAATCAAACAGTGAAGGGGAAGATGAATAGGAATCTCACATACACAACTTAAATAAAACATAGCTCTCTGAACAGATGAAGATAGGTCTCTTCTGTATCACAGAATCTAATCAATATATGTATAATCTAGCTATCATTTGGCTTAAAAGGGCTTATTGGGAAATGTTATCATTTATACTATTTTCTAGAGAAAAAATATTTTGCTGTTTAAAATAAATAAATTAATTAATAAAAACAAACAAACAAAAATGCCTTGGTGGGTGTTAGTTATTATGTGACTGCAGTGCACAGATTATGTAGGACGTAAGGCCCCCGGGAATGACTACGTGTCTCCCCAGCGCATGTGTGGTCATGGGGGACTGGCTAGAAATTTCAGTCAGGTGAGCAGAGGTTACTACTGCAAAGCATCCATCACTATCCTCTGGAACTGGAGTTACACACAGTTTGAGCCGATATTGGGTTTTGAAGGTTTACAAATCCAGCTCCCAGCAAAAACCACCACTGAATAATATCTCCATTCCACTATTTCATTTTTAATTTTGTGTGGGGGGAGGGCAGTGGGTGGGTATGCAGATGTGAGTGCAGGTGATTGTGGAGTCCAGAAAATGGTGCCTGACCTCCTGGAACTGGAAGTTGTAGCCACCTGACATGGGTGATGGGTTCTCTGCAGAGCAGTAACCCTTCCTAAACTACTTCTCTAGTCCCATCATAGAAGTTCTCATTTGTCAATCATCCTTGAGTGATATTTAACATAGGTGTGGCTTTTTTTTCTTTTCTTTTCTTTCTTTCTTTTTTTTTTTTTTTTTTGAGGGCCTGGAGACTTCAGTTCATAGCTTTAACCTTCAGAAATATATTCCTAGTTTTGCACCTGCTCAATTTAAATGTGAAATTCTGTTGCCTTTAAAACCTGTAAGAATTGTGCTGCAGTGTGAATGGTATGTGGAGTTGGCCCATCCATCCATCCATCCATCCATCCATCCATCCTTTTTTTTTAACCAAATTTCCTCATTTGAAAGAATTTTACAAACTAAAGAACTTAAGTGGATGTTGTGATATGACTTCTAGAAAAGGTAAAAGTACCCAGGCATGCATGTGTTGCTTCCGTGACCAGGGAAGTCACCTGTGGTTCTGGGGATTATGGTTCTTAGTTTTTATTTTCACTGTGTCTCAGGGTGTGCTTTTCAGGGGCTCATATCTTGTCCAGGTTGGTTATGTGGTCACCCAGTTCTCTGATGGATTTCACCTATTCATGTAATGAGTATCCATCCACAAAGTTACATAAGTGGGGGGTTTGTGAAGTTACAGTCACGACTGATTCACAGTCTTTTCCACATGCAGTTGCATACTTCATTGTGTTTAGTCCATATTTCTAGTCATCAGGTCTTGATGTCCTGCAGTAAAATTGGCCACCTCCTCAGTACTGTAGCCTCATCAGTTCCCCATGTTCCCACTCCTCATGAGATCAGTAGGATTTGGCAAAGTTCTTCAAAGCCACACCATCCTGGTCAAGGTAGCAAGCCATGGACAGATAGACATTGGAGGCATACAGCTCCAGGTTGATCTGGAGGTCCATGGCAGCCTCTGTGCCATGGTGGTAGTTGTGGCTCACCTTCAGGAGTGACTTGGTGGTCAAGGCCACGACAAGGTGGTAGAAGACTCTGGCTTGGAGCCCTCGGTTGACGGCCACATGCAAACACTGTTCAAACAGGAAGCGGTGGCGGCTCTAGGCTGAGAACATCTTTCATTCATTCTCTGTCACCTGTAATGTATTCCTGGGTATCAGGAGCAGATTTTTTTTTTTTTTTTTTGATGAACCAGAAACAAATTTTATTTTTGTTTAAAATTGACAGAGTAGTTTTTTAATTATCACAATTCCTATTTTTTAATTACTAAAAATATTTTTTACATTTGATATTTTGATTGTTTTTTCTTCTCCAACCCCACCCAAATCCTTCCCATCTCCCCACACACCTACCAAAATCTACACCCTTTCTTTCTTTTTCACATTAGAAAACAACCAGGCATCTACAAATTAGTAATGATAATAAATGCAATAATAAGATAAAATAAAAACAAACAGAAAAACTAGACACAGACTATACATAAGAAGCCGGGCGGTGGTGGCACACGCTTTTAATCCTAGCACTTGGGAGTCAGAGCCAGGCAGATCTCTGTGAGTTTGAGGCCAGCCTGTTCTACAGAGTGAGATCCAGGACAAAAAAAAGAAAGAAAGAAAAAGAAAATACACAAGAAGCACATACAAATGCTGACACCCCCCACATACACACACACACAAAATCCATAAAATCATATTCATATTAACTTGAGAAACTTATGACAGGATTTATTAATATACCAACATTATTTGTAGTTGACAATTCCACACCTAAAACCTACTTTTAATTGAAAGTAACCACTAGACACAGATTCTTGGTTCTTCTATTCTTACAGTTTTTTCTGACTAGAAGCAAATTAAACCAGCCCAGAAGTAGATGGTGAACACAAAACAAACTCAGTGGTATTTTTGGAGAGATTGTTTGGTTGGTTTGTGGTTTGTTTGTTTACTTTTTTAAATTTTTTTATCCCATTTTTAACCTTACAGATCTTTCATATTATGGTTTCTGATTTTGATTTCAGGAGCAGATTTTTAAGATAGAAGTCATCGTTTTTTTCTGTTATGTCTTTAAAGTTGTTTTTGAAATGCCACTCCCAACCCTTTGTTGGGTTTGGAGACAGGGTTTCTCTGTGTAGCCCTGGCTGTCCTGGAACTTACTCTGTAAGTTCCAGGCTGGACTCAGACTCAGAGATCCATTTGTCTCTGTCTCCTGAGTGCTGGGATCAAAGGTGTGCACAACCAGACCTGGCTGTTTTGAAATGCTTTAATAAAGTGGTTCTGTAGTTCTGTTTCATCTCTGGAAATAAAGAGCAAAACAGCAAACAATTCCCAGACCACTTGGACTATAAGATAGAGTTATAAAACACAAACACACACGTTCACACGCACACACACAGGACATGTCACCAATAAGAGAACTGTTGGAGGCTGAGGAGGACCCCAATTGTTTTCCTTGAAAAGAGGTGATCCATCGTCTAGGCACTGGCAAATAGGATCCACAGTGATGTATTTAACCAACACCCACTCAATCTCTTTATGGAAATGTCAAGAATACATTTTTGCCATAGAGACAGAAAGCTGTCCTAGAGAAGGTACAGAAGAAGCCGGCCACCATGATACCCAAATTCACTCTCAGAAGTTGACTTTAAAAGAAGTTGCAGAAGTGGTTAAGGATGATGCTCAACATACAGGTGTAGTGATATATTGTGTAACCGAATAATCTCTCTGTCTCTCTCTCTGTCTCTGTCTCTCCCTCTCTCTCTCACACACACAAACACACACATGCTTTCACACATACACTTTTCTCTCTCACACACACACTCACATACACATATTTTCTCTCTCACACATTCTCTCTTCGACATGTATACACACATACACACTCACACACTGTCTATTCCCTGAGAGTTCATGAGGCTGAATTTAAAGGAATGTAAGAGTAGAGTTTAGAGAGGGGTGTTTGCTAAAGAGATTGGCAACATTATAAAGAATCCAAGAGCTTTACACCAGGATAACTGGAAAGATGCTATGAGGGCATCTCAGGAATCTATGAGAGCCTACCATCAGAGCGGACAGGTGTACACATGAACCAGCGCTTCGGTGACTGTGAGATGGGTCCCCCCAGGTAATGGTGATCTGCCAAGTATGATAGGGTTTGGGTTTGGTATTTGTTAGGTGAGGTCACTATAACAGGGCATATCTTGGTGCTGGTCTGTGTCCTCAGGGCCTGCCCTCTCACAGGGAACATTTATGCTTCTCTTTGCCATCACACATCCTCTTTCTGCCCCAGATCTGACTCCATCGTTGAAGGACACATGCCTGGATAGGACATAGAGGGGTGGCCCTGTCCCATAGATCTAAAAAGGGAAAATGTCACAGCAGGGAGAATGAACATCTTGTATGATACAATTAAGGAACACAGCAGGATGGACCAGTGGCTTCTCAGCCACTCTGGGATCCAACCTGAGCCATGTCCACAGGAATTCATCAGGCTCCCATGCTTGCCTCTGTGGAAATGAGGCAAGCTGATGACACCAGTGTTCTCACTGGTCCTTCTGAAAATGTTGCTGGATCCAGAAAGACCCAAAATCCACACTCAGGTTCTGCATTTTCCCCCTTCAGGTACCTTAGAGCTTGTTCCTTCAAAGACACTTCTAATGACATGGTGGTATTGGGGGTGAAGTTACTTTTCCTGGGACTTTTGAGCACCACAGGGCCAATTCTCCGGGGAAAGGAAGATGCAGGAAAACCCCCTTGGTCATCTTTCACAAACATGACTTTTATTCCGAGATTCATGACAATCATTATAGTAGGACAGGCCCCATAGGGTGGAGGCAATTGGCTCAGACCAGTAGCCAGGGCATGCACAGAATGTACTCCTTAAGAGCTAACCTGGAGTCTGCCTGAGGGCCTAGCAACAGGAGCTGTCAGAGTTCCTAGTCACTGTCAGAGTTCCTGATCGTGCTGAGTCTGTCTGAGGACCTAGCAACAATTGCTGTCAGAATTCCTGATTGTGCCCAGCCAATGAGGGACGACGACACACAATGGGCGCTGGGAGGAGGGTATAGAAGGGCTACCCTGTTATTAAATAAAGGAGTTCATTATTTGCTTTCCACAGACACCCTGTGTCTGTGTCTGTGTCCTTGATGACATGCCTCATCACGCCTTCCCCGGAGGAAGATGCTAGAACCCAAGCAATAACTGGCGCCCAATGTGGGGCTTCTGTTACTTTGTTTCTCCCAGTGCAGGTTCTGATCGGCTCCCTCTCTTTACTTGCTGCCCCTTGCTTGACAGTGGCCCCAAGTAACACAGTGTGTTTCGTTGAGAAGTGTTGTGTTCTTTCCGTCCCTTTGGCAGGTGAGCATTGGGGCCCCCACTTCTTTCCTTCTTCTGTGTTGTCTGTCATGTTTGTCTGCCCATTCCGTTAGGAAGGCACTTGTTTTTTTTCATTTCGATTTTCCCGGCACTTCCACATAAGGGTTGACCTCCAAGGACGTGGAACCAAGACTCGGCTCCCGATTGCCATCCCTCATCCGGAGACACCATGTGGGCATAAGGTCATGGCCTATAAAAAACCACAAACGTCCCCCATAAGCACAGGACATGAGGGTCTGATACAAATTTTCATCCCGTTGAAAAGATGGGTAATCTTTTCATCACCCCCACCAATTCCCTGTCAGATATCTCTACAATATCCGATGAGGAGGAGACAGACAGTCTTGGCCCTGAGAAAACTGTCAGTTTGGGCCCAAAAAATTTGTCAGGAAGAATGTAGCTGTCAGTTTGGGCCCTGGGAAATCTGTCAAGGTGAACATAACTGTCAGTTTGGGCCCCGAGAAATGTGTCAGGGAGAACGGAGCTGTCAGTTTGGACCCTGAGAAATCTGTTACTGTTAGTCTGCTACTAAGAATGAGGCAGAGAAGTGTCGGGAGAAGAGGGGTCTCATGTGACCTGGGTAGATTTTGGACACGTTTTCGGCTCCTGCCCCCTGATTATGGATGCCTTTGAGGGGCAGGGTCCTTGCAGAATTCCTGCGGCCCAGGATTCCATCATTTCCTCCCTTCTTCCTGGCTGGAACTCTGAGCAGGGTACAGACACAGGGCATCATGGGCTTTGTGCATGGTTCCGTCTACAGGTCTCCTCCCATATGTGAGTCCTCTCCAATACCACGGCTGCAGATTTGTGATGTTCTGCATCCTCTGAAAAACTCTTAAAATACAACAACACACGTGAATGAGAATCTTGTGACTGCAGCTATACAGGGCGTCTTTCCAACTGTGGTCACCCTGCTCTGCCCTGCTCTCCAAGCTGCTTCCTCCTGTCTAAACCTCTGCTCCCAGGCACCTCTGTCCCTCATCACCCAGCTCCCATCTCATACCACTTTTCTCCTCCCTTAGCACCTCCTCCTCCCCCTCCCTTCTCTTAACATGGTCAACACCCTTCTGCCATTGACTTCTAGTCCAACATTTTTAGATTTCCCATGTGTAGGATACAGTGAGATTTGTCTTCTGGGATGCTAGATATGTTGATAGGTTCCATTGAACCATCCCATGGTATCTACATCTAGCTTCCCAATGCATTCTATCCCATAAATACACATAGTTATGATCTGTCCATTGACACAGACATGAGTAAAACACTCATTCCAACACAGAAAGGTACCTGGGCCAGTCCTGCTGTTTGCTCTCCGGACGCCCTCCTTCTGCCTCATTTCTGAGGCAAGATTTTGTTCTGCCCCCAGCGAGGTTTCTTCCTTGATGGACAGCAGCAAAAGAGTCTCATGAAGGCATTTCCTATCCTCCTTGCCAATGCCCTCAAGCCTCGAGGCTGGCCATGGCTGCGGGTGGACTTGTCCTTTGCTGAGTCTCTGTGGGAGCATAAGATGTCTTCTGTGTTATCAGTGCTGGTACTCACTGAGCAAATGCAGGGGGCACTCTTGGAGCATTGGTGGTCTTGGTCCGAAGTGATTGTTCTCTGGAGTGGCATGTGGAGAGGAATGGTGGCCCTTCTGTCTCCTCTTTGACCTGGCCGCTGGCCATAGGCAGACACCTGACCACTAGTGGATGACCCTCTGAGCAATGTGCCAAGGGCAGGCTCACTCCTCCTCCTCCTGGGTGGTAGAGGGAAAGCAACAGGATCCTCTAGGGAAGGGAATGGTGCCACCCCTGGATTCACAGGTTGAGCCAAGGTTGTGCAGGTAGGCCACTGGAGAGCCTGCCCTTTTAGTAAGCAATAAAATGCCATGGTCTGGTTGAATTTTCTCTTGTGTAATGATTCTTTGATGTCCCGGGCTTGGAACCCAATGTGTTCCATGGCTTTCACAATTGCAGGGTCAGGCAAGCCAGGGACCATTTCTTCACAGTCATTTGGTGAAGCCTCCATGTCTTCCCTGAGCCAGGGATGTCTTTTCACTTCTTCCACTGTTGGCCTAAGACTGGGGTCGACTGTCATTAAGAGGCTAAGCAGGTCCTGGAGCTCTGGTGACATGCCCAAGGGGACAGTATAATTCGCATTCACAATCTGATGTCGGAGCTCTGGTAGGGTGACAGCATCAAATGGGACTTTCCCGACTACCATGAAATATAGAACCACTCCTAATGTCCATATGTCGACCTTGGGGCCGTCATAAAGTCTTCTAAGGTGAAATTCAGGGGCATAAAATCTGTAAGCCCCACAGTAAAAGCTGAGTTTTTCTCCAGGCCTAACTTTGGCACCAAGGCCAAAGTCGACGATTTTGACTTTTCCATTCCTATCCACCATGATGTTGTCCGGTTTCAGGTCCCGATGAATTATTCCATGTTCATGGCAGTAACTCACAGCACTTAGGATTTGCCTGAAGATCCCCCGGGCACGGTCTTCCTCCAGGTGTCCAGCCTTTCGGACGTATCGATATAGCTGTTTTCCCGCAGCCAGCTCCATGATGAGGTACGTTTTCTTCTTAGACTCAATCACTTGGATAAGTGAGATGATGTTGGGGTGGTTGATCATCTTCATAATATTTACCTCAGGTTTGATCGGTAAGCACCACTTATTCTCTTTTTCAAGTACTTTGACAGCCACCAGGGTGCTGGTGAAGCGGTGGTAGGCCATTTTTACTTCGGCAAAGCCTCCACGGCCAAGGGTCTTCAACATCAAATACTGCAAGTAGAAGTTTTCTTTTTCCGGGGGGCTGGATGGAGATCCAAGAACTGTGGCATCCTCTTCATTACTACTAGAGCTCATTTTTGGTAACAAAGTATAAATGCTACCTAAGAGAAAGAAAAAAGAAGAAAGAAGAAATTCAAAATGAAAAAGAAAACAGTGAAAAAAAATAGAAAGCCTGAAATTCTATCAAACAACTAACAACAACAACAACAAGAAGAACAACAAAAACCCGGAAAACCAAAATCACACACACACAAAGCCAAAAGAATCCAAATAAAAAAAAACCTAACTGCAGGTCACTAGGGAGGAGGACCAGAGCTCAGCAACACTGAGAATGAAGACCGTTGATTGCTTAAGAAGAAAAACATACAAAGAAATACAGAAAGGATGAAGAAATTTAAAAATTAGAAGATCCAAGCAATGTCAAATGAAACAAAAGCAAGCAAAACTCCAAACAAACAAAATACATTAAAAAGGAAAAACCTAGAAATCAAAACAAAATATAACAAAGCCCACAACAGCTTCTAGATTATACAAGTCACTTAAAAAATAATAAACACCAAGAAACAATCCAATGAATAATTTGGATAGGGTACTGAAAAGGGTTTTCTCAGAAGACACACAAATGGCTTAAGAAATATATATATATATACACACACACATATGTGTGTGCACATATATATGTGTGTATGTGTATATGTTTGTATTTGTATTAATGTTCACCATCCTCGGCCATCAAGGAAAGGCAAATTAAAACTTTTTTGAGATTTTGTTTTACTCTAGTCAGAATGGCAAAGACTAATAAAAGGCAACAAATGCTGATGTGGATGTGGGGGATGGAAACCCTCATGCAGTGTGGATGCTGGTGTGGATGTGGGGGATGGAGAACCTCATGCACTGTGGATGCTGGTGTGGATGTGGGGGATGGAGACCCTCATGCACTGTGGATGCTGGTGTGAGTGTGGGGGGATGGAGACCCTCATGCACTGTGGATGCTGGTGTGGATGTGGGAGACGAAAACCCTCATGCACTGTGGATGCTGGTGTGAGTGTGGGGGATGCAGACCCTCATTCACTGTGGATGCTGGTGTGAGTGTGGGGGATGGAGACCCTCATGCACTGTGGTTGCTGTTGTGAGTGTGGGGGATGCAGACCCTCATGCACTGTGGATGCTGGTGTGAGTGTGGGGGATGGAGACCCTCATGCACTGTGGTTGCTGTTGTGGATGTGGGAGATGAAAACCCTCATGCACTGTTGATGCTGGTGTGAGTGTGGGGGATGGAGACCCTCATGCACTGTGGATGCTGGTGTGAGTGTGGGGGATGGATACCCTCATGCACTTTGGATGGGAGTGCAAACTCGTGCAGCCACTGTAGAAATCAGTGTGGCTGTTCCTCAGAAAACTAGCAATAGACCTATCACGTGGTCCAGCTATACCACTCCTGGGTATATACTCAAGGGACTCTATTTCCTGCTGCAGAGACACTTACTCACCCACATTCAGTGCTGCTCTATTCACAATAGCTGAGATATGTAAACATCCTAGACATCCATCAACTGAAGAAGGGCTAATGAAAATGTGGTACCCATACAAAATGGAATTTTATTCAGCTACAAAGACAACTGAAATTATGAAATTTCTAAGTAAATGGATGGAACTGG